CCCTCAAGAACATGAGACCCTCCGTCAGCCAAAACGATCATGAACATCCAAGGGTACCCTCCCCGGGATGCACAAGAGCAATCAACAGACACGAAGGACACTAGGCTTCCCTCCACGAACCGACCTCGCTCTTATACCTCGGTCCGACGTTGGGAGGTCGACTACAAGGTAGACGTACCCCAAAATCCCACCAGCCCTTTGGGCGTGAGTGGTTTAGAGAGCCCTCTCTGTTCTCAACCCTCCTTCTTCCCCTTCGGGGAGGGGTTTACCCCTCCCCCTCCCCCCTCCCCCTGGGCCTGGAGAGGGACCCCCGCGGGTGGTCAGAGGGGTATTTTTCGACTCCTGGGAGGGCTAAAAAAACGACGACCCTCACGAGGATTCTGGCCCCGACGGGGGGGCGGAGATAGGTCCCTCTCCTCTTCTTTGAAGCCAAAATCATTGATTTTACTACGGTTTTGGCCCCATTTTGGCCTCCTGAGGGGGCCGCGCTCATCTTCCTTCATAGCAAAATCATTGATTTTACGAAGGTTTTGGGCTCATTTTGTCCTTCTCAGGGGGCAGCGCTCCTTTGCGCTTCTGAGGAGGTCGCAAGAGGCCCCAAGATGGCCCCAGAGGCCCCCCGGAGCCTCCCAAGAGGCCTCCAAGAGGCCCCAAGAGGCCCCCCCCAAGAGGCCCCCCCCAAGAGGCCCCCAAGAGGCCCCAAGAGGCCCCAAGAGGCCCCCAAGAGGCCCCCAAGAGGCCCCCAAGAGGCCCCCAAGAGGCCCCAAGAGGCTCCAAGAGGCCCCCAAGAGGCCCCACGAGGAGCCCGAACGACTCACACCAGGACGAGGGGCCCGAACGACTCACACCACGAAGAGCCCGAACGACTCACACCACAAGGAGGGGCCCGAACGACTCACACCAGGACGAGGCGCCCGAACGACTCACACCACGAGGAGCCCGAACGACTCACACCACGACGCGGGCCCCGAACGACTCACACCACGAGGAGCCCGAACGAGTCACACCAGGAGGAGGGGCCCGAACGACTCACACCAGGACGAGGGGCCCGAACAACTCACACCACGAGAAGCCCGAACGACTCACACCAGGACGAAGAGCCCGAACGACTCACACCACGAAGAGCCCGAACGACTCACACCAGGAAGAAGGGCCCGAACGACTCACACCAGGACGAGAAACCCCAAACGACTCAAATCACGAGGAGCGCTTTCTCTCCCTCCTCCTCCGCCTCGTCCTTCTCCCGCTCCCCCCACAAGGAGGATGTACAAGGAGGCGGGAGGAAGGAGGAACAGGGGAGATATGCGGGGCCAAGCGGACACACGCCTGAAAAACACGACTGTCGGCATGCTTCGCAAGAGTTGCTGCTGTGAGATGGGCTGGTGGGGATACGCGAAGCGTAAAGAATTTGTCTTCTCGGCGAATCTACGAAGGATCCGTATACTGCTTCTGGTAGACCTACGACCCTTGTGCGCTTCTGTTCGTGGGTTCGACGAAGGGGTGAATTCTGGGGGAAGTCAACTCAATGGTCGATCCCATACTCGAACGTCTCAGCCAAATCCCCCACCTCATCCTTGCTGTCTTATGTCCTTCGCATCGCTCCCCTCCTCCTCTGCTCCTCCTCCACCTCCTCTCGACTGGCCATTCCCTCCCACACCCTCCCACACTCTCCCGTCTTCCGTCTTTCCGCTCCTCCTCTTCCCTCCCAGCCACAAGCGTCGCACCGGAGAGCACCGTCGTGCAAGCACAGAATGCCTCTAGACTCTAGACTGTCCAGGGAACGCCGGGTATGGAAGAACGCAGAACTGCCACCTGAACCGACCCGCCAGGCCCACCTCAGTAGTGAAAACGCATCATGCAAACTGCTGTGAGATAGTCCCGAAAGTTGTCGCGAAAGCACCGCGAGAGTTGCTGATACGGTCGGACCGAGGACAAAAGAACATCCTGGGAACCTTCTAAGAGATCTATGGTCTCTCTTACCGAAGTAGTGAGCTTCATTAACACACTGCCAGGGAGACCGTCCAGTGCACGGGATTGAGGCCCAACGTGAAATGTGTTCCCTGGAACTCCTCTATGTATCTGAGACCCTTGTTTTTGCGATTTTTTCCGTTCTCATGCCCTCGTCTTCAGTGCACCGCATTGCCCGACACAAATTATCAGCAAGTATGCTTGGATCACCTATCTTGCTATTCGGCCCACAGCAGTAATCAATAGTCACTCTTTCAACGTCGCACCGAATGGGGTCTTCCGTTGGCTGGTCAATCAGCTCAGTTGCAAAAATATCATTCGGCTCTCCAACAACAACATTGACATGGTTAGTGCACTCTACCTGGTCAAAGGGCTGTATTGGTTGATCTGGTACATCCGATTCGCTGTCGGTTATCTCAAGCATAGCCATCATGTTTTCCTATTCTTGTGACTTTCGCTGTTGAGAGCTTTTCCTGAATCCACAACTGTCATCCCCGAAGGGCCCCTGGCTGTCAACGCTGCCGGCTGTGCC